TTCCACTTACTCCCAAAAGATGGACATGAACGGCGTTGAAATTGTGAGAGTTGTTGTATACAACGGGTAAAAATGCTACTACGTCAAAATCTCTGACAAGTAGCCACCGTATCACAGCCATGAGCCCTGCACAGTTCACAGCCCTACAATTAAGGTTATTCTTCCCCAACTGCAATTGTACATTTTAAACATACTCTCGTCCTATACCACATGCACTTCTTCCTATGTTGCAACCATCGACCACCATAAGCCTTGGCAACCACTCGGGTCCAGGCTTTACGAAACAAGCTTCCTCGCACATCACCTCTTAAAGCAGGTTGCAACAAGACTGTGAAGGATTAGGACGGATTACTCACTAAATGAATCAAAAGCATCGGACAACCGGAGTAGGGAGAGCAAATACGAAAATTAAGAAACACTTAACTCGGTAGAGATCAAGTGCGAAGATAAGATTTGCAAATGTATCAGTAACAATAACGAGGAAGGTCATTTTGATTATGCACTTCATGGTTTGCAAAGAAAAGTTTGTGTGTTACTTACGGTAGTCTGGGTCTCTGTCGAGTTGTTCGTATAAAGTGATTCTGCATTTTTTGGGTCGTTCCCCTTTTTCACATCATTCGCGCAGCAACCTGTCGCTTTTTGGAGTCGGCTCAAATGCTGCTGTTCTTTACAAATCAGAACGAGCTTGGTAGATGTGCTATGTTCCCTGTTGCTGCGGATGACAAGATTGGGATCAACATCTCAGGTATTTTTGGTAGCAAATTGAGTTTATCTCAAAGTAGAAGTTCTCGCTCAGTCACACGGGTTTAGAATTTTTTAGATGGATCAAGTTTAGCTTCTTTTAAACTGTTTGTCTCAATAGTCTTTTCTTTGCACTCAAAAGGAGTGCAAAGAAAAGACTATTGAGACAAACAGTTTAAAAGAAGAATTTCCTTCAGCCCATTCAATATCCTACTCTTTCTAATAATGCAGTGTATTCACAGATTGTTAGATTGGTGGATACTTAATGTGAA